GTACTCCAGAGTGTTGTTCAGCATGGGGGTGAGTAGATAATGAAGGCTAATCATGTTTTGGGTGTACTATTCCTTGAAGGCCTACTATGAAATTGCCACATCGAACGTGACGTGCTGACATGGATGCAGCTATAAAGCTGCCGGGTTTGCTTCAAGGAAAATTCATTTTGAAGAAATTAATTGTTCTAACACACCCTCCCGTTACCTCAGGTCAGCTGATCAGTTGCTTCTGAGAGTCCCAAAGACAAAATGCAAGCTCAGAGGGGACCGTGAGCATAAGACAGGCCTCTTCTCTTGCTATTTTTAAGTCCCTTCTTAAGACTCATCTTTTTTCCTTGGCTTTTGGCACAATTTGAGAGGTTTTACTTTGTTTTATTCTGTTTGCATACTAATAAGTATTTTATCATTCCAGTTCTCAACAAAAAAATAAAGCTAATTAAAGCAGATAAAAGATGATTTATTTAATTAGTGATTGGGATCAATCAGATCTAGACAGAAAATTGTACTTTGACTGATACTACCATAAGGCTATGCCTTTGTCTTGTCTTTGCTGCTATGACTTTATTTGTAAACGTCTGTTTTTCACCCTCTGCTCTGCTATGTAATCTGTCCTTGTGTTCAGCAATGAAAAATCTAATGATTGCAATGTACTTCTTTACTTGGACTTTGACAGGCTCTCTGCATTTGTCACCTACCATTGTGAAAATTAGTAAAGTCGGTGGTGTTCACTACAGCATCAGTGGTCTCATTGGTGATATCGCCAAACACAAACTGAAGTTTAGCGCCGCCTCTTAAAGTTATATTGATATCATCAAGGTCACTGGTGAGGGACCTGAAGAGTGCTAAAAGAAGAAAGCCGTCACATGCAGTTGGAAGACTTACAATAACACATTTATTGACCAAAAAGCGTATGAACTATCAATAAAGTCTGGTTTACCTCGACCTCCCTGGTTCATAATTAAGCTGAGGTGTTTGTACACTTCATGGTAGTTCTAGAGATAACAAAAAATAATCAATACTAAGCAACATTGTTTTGAATTCCATAGCTTTCCTTTAAGACGTACCTTCTCTGAGTCAGGGTAGCCAGGTTTAATAACGATGTGGATGCTGTTGACATTTTTGCAACGTCCAGACAATGCAAACTGCCGAATGCTTTCAGTCAGAACTTGAACGGCTTCACTCAAAGGGTATTTTAGGAGCAAACCTGGTCCAATAATAGGGATGGCCACTGAACTGAAGCCCTTCTCTGCACAAAGGTCCAAGCATCTTTTTAACCCTTTTGCAAGAGCCTGCAAGACAAAAATTAAATATTTCCCTGGATCTTTAAAAAAAAATTCCATCCATCTGTTATAAACTGTGTTCATTTCCTGGTTCCTAAGACAATAATATGAAAGATCCATTGGTCCCCAAAACAGAGCAAAGCATTTGGTATTTCAGTTTGCAAAAGAGCAGCAGTTTTGTAAGTTGGCAATGTTATTCATTGCTCCTTTAAAACAAATGGCAAATGACCTAACCCTGTTATTCTAAATAGTTGCATATGCTTGGTATTACATTTCAAAATGTCTGTTACATTGTTCATCTCCTCATGAACAGATATTTAATTTTAACTTATCATTTTACCTGCACACTCATTCCTCCAGCTCTGTCCCAAGATAGGCACTCAATGCAGAATATTTTGGAGCACCCCAGAGATGCGCTGGCACCAACCTGAAGAACATCGCCAGGGGCAAGGCCAGATAATGGCACCAATGTGTCAAACATTAATTGAAATGTGTCTCCACTTTTTTTTAGCAAACATTTCCCAATATTTGTTGAAGACAGGTTGTTATCATGTGTGGGGACAACCAAAACATTCACCTGTGGAAACATTTAGAGATAGACTCAATAGAAAACTGACAATAGCCCTCCTATAAAATATGAGAATAAACTGAAAAAGAACAGACCCGCTCATCTTCTAAACTGCAGATCTTGATTTCTAGATTGATATCACTGTACGCATTAGGTTCCACCATGTTGGTGCGACTCCTGGGTCTTGGTGTGATACTGCTGATGCTGCTGAGGCTTAGTTGTCTGGCTGCCACAGATGGAGAGCTAACTTTTTGCTGTTCCCAAATAATCACCTGGCATTTACTTTCAACCAGCTCCTTGCTTTCTTTCCCTTCTCCTTGGAAGTATCGCAGAGCTCCAGGACCATCCAGGACTAATGTGTCAAATGTCATGCTGGCCAGAGCGACCATAAGGGCCTGCTTTGTCTCCTGAACCCGCAAACGGGGTCCAGACAACAGTA